CTGCTCGGACTTGCCGTGTAGCTGCTCAAACACGATCGCCAGCTGCTCGGATAGGACGCCCTTCTGGTACTCTAGGTCCCACGCGTTGGACCCAGCTAGGTCTCGCTCGCACTGGGCCGTCTGGATGTTCTTCTCCATAAGTTTCATTGCCTCTTTGAGTTTTTCATTCTCCTTGACGAGGGGCTCCATCCTCTTTATCAGCTGGCGTCGCTGCTCAGCCGTCCGAGTTATCCCCTGCAAAAACGCCAAGATTATGAAGAAGAACAATCTCCAACGTTAAAGATGAACATTATAGATGCAGTACTAACCTTGATCTGCTTCATCACCCCGGCAAGGGCGGACTCCAACCTCCTGAGCTCCCTGGTGGTGTTCTCCTCCTCAACAACAACCACCTCATCGCTACGTTTGTGGAGGATTCGGATAGCTTGGGGTCGAGATTCCTCACGTTCGATCTCTTCCACCTCATCCTCCTCCGTCGCAGCTAGAGGCACCACCGGGGGGCTCTGTGGCCAGACAGTGTGTTCGACAACGCCCTTCGGTGCTTTAGGGAGCGCCGTCTGCTCCTCTGGCACTGTAGGTTTCTCCACTTTGGCCTCCGACGCAGCATCGGCAACTCCAGCCTCCGCTCCTGAAGCCGGCGGCTTCCGCCGTTGCTCCGGGCACCGTCGCCGACCCATCCATCGCCGGTGCCAACTGCTCGCCATTGCCAAGTCCGCCAGCAGCTGGCGGTTGACTCCTCCGCCAGATACCGAGCGCCGGAGACTCCGAGACGGGAGCCGCTGGCATTGCCTCTGCCCCGGGACCAGCCCCCGGCTGCTCGATAGCCTAGACAGGCGGGTTGAATCCTCCGTACGCCTCACACTGCATCAGATCAGCTCGTTAATTGCTAAAAAATATAAGGATATGACAACAAAATAACTCCAAGACAAGGGTACTTACGTATCGGCTTTCCGGTAGATTTTTCTGAATCGGCGCTGCCTACCCGAGCCCCCAACCATGGCCTTGGGGTCGATTCCTACGCCTTGGGGTGGAGGTCTCGCTGTCTCCACCGTCGGCCTCTCCTCTGCCCGTCGCTCCAGGACTCCCCTCGCCTGCTGCTCAGGGACTCCCACCGCCTGCTGCTCGGGGACTCCCACCGCCTGCTGCTCGGAGACTCCCGTCGCTTGCTGTTGGGGGATTTCCTTCCCTCCCTTCGATTGTTCCTCCGCGCGCGTGGTGCGTGGAGGCGCCTTCGGGCTCGGTGGAGGAGCCACTCGAACTTCGTCATCATCCGACCACTCGGACATTGCGGTACTCCGCGTTTGAGTTGTCTGGTCACCACCAAGTGAGATGCCACCCAGCTTAAGGGGAGCAGCACCCGCTGTCTTTCTCTTCTTCCGGGCTGGCTCGTCCACCGCTGCCCTCTTCTCCTAGATTTTCTCTAACACCAGGGATAGACTCTCCGATGAGATGCTGATGGCTTCCTCCTTAGGCTGCGTTGGTGGCCGGGCATCTACTGCCTGCGGCCAATCGCCCATTGGCACGCCCGAGAAGTACACCGCACTTTCCTGCAAATGTATCTTTTCATAAGTGAATTAGTCTACTGCTCGACAACGACAAAAGATGAAAAGTATCAGGAACAAACAATTGAGATGTTTGCCTAAGGAGGCGGATTCTTGCAGTTAAAGGGTCTCATCTGCCCTGGCAAGTTGAACGAGGCAAGTGGAGCGTATAGCTCGGCGGCCCGCTCTTGCACAACGTCTCTCGACAGCATCTCCGTCCTCTCCTGGGTACTGTCGGTCTCCCCCTTGAAATCAAAGGCTGCGTGGTCCCTATCCTTGCAGGGCTGGACGCGGCGCACTATGAAGCTCGCCGCCAGCAGTCCACCGTTGGTCTTGACGCCCTTTATTCAGCCAAGGAGCTCCCTCACTTGCTCCATGTTAGCACTGTTTGGTTTTCCGACCAGCTCTTTTGGCTCTCCGGAATGTGGTCGACGTCGCAATGGATTGCAATGTGGCTCTGCTTCATGTAGAACCACCTAGCGTTCCACCCCTTTAGTGAAATATTCAGCGGTACAGTGATGTACTCGCTCGCCATCCCGTCCCGAAGTTGCAGATATACGCCGCCGACCACCTTGGAACTGCACCGCTTTTCTTCTTCAACCAGAACAGGTGTCTGAAGAGGTTGAAGTGCGAAAGAATCCCTAGATATGCTTCGCAGAAGTGGATAAAGATCGAGATGTGCAAGGCAGTGTTTTGGGTGGAGATTGCATAGACTAAGTGCCCAGAACTCTAACAGATCCCTCAAAAAAGGATGAACAGGAAATCCCAACCCTCGCCAGAAATAATCCTCAAACGTCACTACTTCATGAGTATGAGGCATTAGGAAGGGCTCACTGCTGGCTGGCCGCCATCCGACGGTGACGCGGTCTGGAAGAACGCCCGCCTCCACCAATGTGTTGAGCTCCGTCTCTCCCGTGCGCGATGGCACCCACTCTTCGTCACGGCTGGCTCTGACGCTCGCCTTCTTTGGGTTCGCAGCTCCCCTCTTAGGCGCCATCTCTCGGACCTAGATGGGGGCTGGCGGTGGAAGCGCGTGTGGATGTGAATCTAGAAATACGAGGGCTGAGGAGGAAGATGAAATGACAAAGTGGCAAAGGTGGGAGCGCGGGGTGCGGCGGTGCAGTTATAAAGCACTTCCCCCACCTCTTCGCATTCAAGGGTTTTTTGGAAACCGTTCTCTCGATTTGCGCCTCTCCAAATTCTCCACAACAGCGTGGTGGGCCGTTACCTGGGCTTTCGCGCAACGGCGGCCCGTATCGCCCACTTCGCCGCAATTTGTTACTGCTCACCGGATATTCGCCGACTTCTCCGTCAACCATTACGACTCAGTAATTACTACTGTACAACTATTACTCCGGTATTTTCTCCGCGATTTAATTTCTCCAAGATTTCATCTTGTGGCTTGGGGACTGCGTCAACACTACGTCTCGGTTCCTCACCGCATTGGATACTTTCTTCTGTTGACTGTTGTTTCTGATCCTGGCACCACATGACTGCGTCATCTACTGTCAGGCTTGGGGACTAAGTGAGCACACTTCACCTTGCGGTGAATGTGATTTTTCTCATCTCGAGGCTCCGCCCGGGGACTGGCTGCCTGCTCGGCTGGTCTTATGTTATTCTTCTACTTTGCACCCTGGCACCACATGACTGCGTCATCTACTGTCAGACTCGGGGACTAAGTGGGTACACTTCACCTCGCGGTGAGTGTGTTTGCTTTAATCTAGAAGACTCGGCACCTCTTGAAACTAAATGAAACTATCTCCCTTTCTCGTTGTCGGACTCTAAGTGGGCACACTTGGTCCACTACGAAGAAATTTTCAATTCTGAACTTGAGCTCCTTACACCCTTATGGTAAGCCGTACTTGGGTTACACTGCTCGATGACGGTTTGCGCTGCTCGACAACTCATCACGGTGATTGGACCATGAGTTTGACTGCTCGGCTTTGTTCGCACCTGCTCGGACAAGCTCAAGATGACGTTGCACAACAGGTACAAGGCGCTCGGGGACTAGCTGTGGGAGGTACGACCCCGGATATCCACGGCAGACCACATGGGTTGCACCCCCCAGGGGCGGCCCAGCCCACAAGACGAAGCCTTACGGGGCACGGCGTTGCTTGGCGCCCTCCGCAAGACACCGAAAAGATATCCTGAAGATACTACGAGATTTGTTAGGATACGTATGATCTCATGATTTCTGTAATCTGTTAATACTTTCCGGTTATCTCTCAGATCTAACCAACTTGTAACCCTACCCCCAGACTATATAAGGGCAGGCAGGGACTTGCTCCAAACACACTCAATATCATACGATAGCCAATACAAACTAACATATCACAGGAGTAGAGTATTACGTCATATTGACGACCTGAATCTGTCTAAGTCGTGTGTCTCTGTCGCCTTTGCGGCATCGCCACCATGGTCCATGGACATGGACGGGATGGGGGGGATCTCCGGTCATGACTTATGCCCAGTAACAGCAAAACGTTTCCATGATCTGCATGCTGCAGCAGGTTGCGGATTGCGAAAGATTCGTCCAAATTCGTGCACGAAAGTATCGCGGCAGCTGCGCGTACGGCGGTTGCGAGGTTGTTGTTTAGTCCGCAATCAGCTACTACCCTCCTTGTTTAGATTCTAAGTTTTTTTTTCTCTCTCTCCATCACATTAAATCTTTGACACATGCATGGAGTATTAAATGTAGATAAAAAAAATAACTAATTACATAGTTTGATTGTAAATTACGAGACGAATCTTTTGAGCCTAGTTAGACCATAATTGAACAATAATTATTAAATACAAACGAAAGTGCTATAGTATCAAATTCTCAACCATCGTCTAAACAAGGCCCTATTCCATCACAATTTTCACAACAAGGTGGCACTACTGGTCACTGGTCACTGGTCACTGGACACTGATCCTGCTTGTCGTGGCACGAGTAAAGCTGGGGCAACATTACAACTGCGCAACTGCAGTCTCAGCGTGAATCCGCAATTGTTAATTACCACAGGGCAGCGGCAGCATTTGCCTGCAAGGCTAGTGTTTAGAGGGAAATAGCCAAGGCACAGGCCACGCCAAAATCTCTGAAACAGAGAGGGAGGTTGCCCCTGTAAAGTAGTACCATTACCCACCACCTACCTCCTGTCAAAAATATTAACCACGGATTAACCCCCCGTCTCAACCCCCGCGAGACAGCCACGTGGCCGTCTGTCAATGGCTGGCTGGGTAGGACCGGGCCCGCGCGTCAGGAAATTTACCGTGCCCGGCTATATAATGCGCTGCCCTTTACCGGGCTATACTCCTGTCCCTGTCGCCTCCTCACGTTTCATCGCCTCGCGTCCACCACAGCCAAGTACAGTACTCGAGTGCACGCTGTCTGCCTCCGCCCTTGGATGCGCCTCGCCGCCGGTCATGGCCTCCGCCGTCGCTAGCAACGTGCACGCGGGACCCGCCGCCGCAGGGCCCATGTCCTTCGGCTGGCTCGGCCCGCCGCGCCTGTCCTTCGGCGCCCGCGACGCCGCCGCCGCTGCCGCGGTGCCAACGGAGGTGGAGGAGCCCGCCTCCACGGCGGCGTCGTCCAAGGCGGAACCGGCGGCGATCTCCAAGGACTTCATCGACTTCGAGTTCAGCCTCGGCGGGTCCGCCACCATGCTCCCCGCGGACGAGCTCTTCGCCGACGGGAAGCTGCTCCCGCTCCGCCCGCAAGGTGCCGCCGGGAAGATGGCGGCGGCCACGGAGGCCGAGCGGGAGCTGGTGCGGCGGGACACCGCGCTGGTCGCGGAGGTCACGCCCTCGCCGGAGCCGCTCAGGGCGATGCACCCCGCGGCGGCGGAGGCGGCGCTCGACCCGTACGTGTTCTCGCCCAAGGCGCCCACGTGCTCCAGCCGGTGGCGGGAGCTGCTCCGGCTCAGGAAGGTCCAGACGCCGCAGAAGCCGTCCCCGTCCGCGTCCGCGTCGCCGTCGGCGTCCCCCGCGGCGACGGCGTCGACCCCGTCCAGAGCGTCCAACTCCTCGGCGGCCAGGTCGCTGAAGCTGCTGCTCCTCCAGCGGAACGGCGGCCGCGCGTCGGGCGCCGCCGCGTCGGACCTCTCCGCGGCGCCTCTCCTCCGCGACAGCTCCGACTCGGAGACGTCCCTCTCCCTCGCCTCCTCCCGCTTCTCGCTCTCGTCGTCGTCCTCCTCATCCTGCCACGACCACGACGACTTCCCGCGCCACTCCCTCGACTCCATCGACCCCACCCCACGTCCCCGCATCCGCATAGTCCGTTCCCACCAGCACGCGCCGCAGCCGCAACCGCAATCACACCCACACGTCGCTGCATCCGCCCCGGCTCCCGCCCGCGCCGCACATAGTCCCGCTCGCCGCCGCCCGTCTCCGTCGCCCCCGCCGCCGCCAAGCGTGGTCTCCGTGGACTCCCCACGCATGAACGCGTCAGGCAAGATCGTGTTTCAGGGCCTGGAACGTAGCTCCAGCTCCCCCGGCGGCAGTGTGCACTCATACATGCGGTCACGGTCCCGCGTCATGGACCGATCCTACTCCGCGGGCGTCCGCGCCACGCCGGTCGTGCTCAACGTGCCAGTGTGCTCACGGCCGGTGTTCGGCTTCTTCAAGGACAAGAAGGACGCCGCGGCCAAGGACGCAGCTTCCGTGCGGGCGCGGTCGGCGCTGGGCCGTAGGACGACCGCCGGCAGCACCACCCCGGCCGCCGCAGCCGGTGGAGTGAGCGGCAGAGATCTTGGCAGTGGTAACTGACACCGTTCGTTTTGGTTGACTAAGCGCTAGTAGTATCATTAGTGCTAGCTAGTAGTAGACCACATTAGCTAGTGGTTCTTCAGTCCGACAAGAAAATAGATCAAAAAAGAGTTTTTGAGAAGTTTGGGTTTGGTGTTGAAGAGAGAGTGGAGAAGAGAGACGATTGGGAGGATAGCTTTGTGAGGCTAGAGTTTCGCGAGCAATTGATACCCTTCCGTTTTGCTCCTGTAAATTCTATCTGCTCCGTGGTTTTTTGTTTACCCTTCCAGTTTGATCCTTTGTAAACCACTGTACTAGCACATTTCTTGATCTCTCAGCTCCCGAGTGAGAAAAAAAAAGGAAAAAGCTTTTGTGCATGCTTGGTTTGTTCTTTGCCGTGGCAGATGGATGCTCTGCGATTACCTGTGCCGTGAGTGAGAATTGAAAAGTGAAGAAAAAAGCAGTTGGTGTTAATCATGTTGTCATGTGTCCCTGTTAAAAGCACATCTTCACTTGAGCGACTCGGCCATCTAGCCCATGCGCACACTTGGGCAGCGGTAGTTTTTTGTTCGGTTCCGGTTTCACTTTCTACCTCGCCTGCACGCATCGGCCCGTTCGTCGCTCGCTCTCTGTGCTCCTGCTGCTGTTAATTGATGGAGATGCCGGTCCGAACAGGGGAGCCGGAGCCTTGAGCGCCTCCATGTGTGCCGCTGATCAGGCACTGTGCGCCATGTGCAGCTATCCATGGCGCCCGCCCCGCGTTAGAAAAACTGGCGGAAAAGCAGTAAAAAATTGGGCGCCCTTTCCCTCGGGCGGCCACCGCCGTTCCGGCAACGTGGCCGCCGTGGCCGTGGTCCCTTGGGCTACCCGGGCGGCCGATCCGTACGCCGTGCCGCGCCCTGCGCACATGTGGGCTGTGGGCTGTGGCCGCCGAGTCCGATGCCGATGCTGGCGCTCGCTCGTAAACTACGCGCCGCTTTGCCCTTTCGCTGAATCTCCTTTTCCGTTGTCTTTTTTCGAACAGTACCGTATGTACGTATCATGGATTCATGGATAGTGTATCCTGCTGTGTTTTGACAGTGTTGTCCATGGGCCTTCGTTTCCGCTGCGTCTTTTGACTGGTGCCAGCCTTTGGCTGCTGATGAACGCTGTTCAATCCTGCGAGCTGCACCGCTGCACTGCACCGGCGAGCAGGGGCACCTGCGCAAGTGTGTTTGTCCGTTGTGCTCCATCGATGCTATTGCTATTGGCTGGGCTCCTAGTCCGAGTATTCAATTTTCGATCCAGTGGTGTGGATACGCTGATAGAGACATAGAGTAGCGTAGGCACCGCACTGTGGCAGCGATACATGCACGTAGCCCCAGTTTTTTTATACTACTACTATACGACGCGCAGGACGCAGCATGGCATTGAGCATGGCATGGGCAGGCGCCACAGCAGAAGCACCGCGCCTCGTGCAGTGCGGTCTTGACCGCGGTCCTTGTGGCAAGATTTGACCACGGTCCACTACTCCAGTCAGTGTTCACTGACACTCCAGTGACTCCACTCCCGGCGAGATAACTTATTAACACCCGGTGGATTATACACTTAACTTGAACTGCTGGAAAGAAAGCGCTGTTTTTTTGACGTAAGAAAGAAAGCGTTGTCAGCGTCAGTGAGTGAAACTGGGCTCTGAAAAGCCGAAAGCCGAAAAGGTTAGTGGCAAGCAGCGAGCTGGGCAGCAATGGTGGTGGCGCCGAGGGACGGACGGAGGACGGAGGAGGAGGAGGAAGAAACATGGAACAACACGGGCGGGGACGGGCGCCGGGGCTGGCGACCAAGAGGAGAGATCAGAACAGAATCCGTGCAGGGCGGCTGGGCTGGCCACCGGCCCACCGGCCCACCGGGCGTGGCGTATAGTAGAGTACAGCGGGCGCAGGCACCTGTAGTACGCGGCCGTGTCCTGTGCTCTGCATTGCACCAGCCACCAGCCCAGCCGGCGCAGCCTTTGAGAGTGTTTCGCGGCAGCCTTTGCCCTTATGCCATTATGGGGCTTGTTCGTTTTTGCCAGCCGAAATCTTTTGCCCTTATGGGGCTTTAAATGGTTTAGATGGTTTTAAGAAATGTTGGCGAATTTACGAGAGAAAAACATTATTTCGAATAAAAAAAAGAAGCGGATAAACCAGGGTTTAAGGCCACGCGAACGTGGCCCCAGTCTCTGGCGCGCGTGATGAGTGTCTTGTTGATCGGTGCGCGCGCCGGGCAGACGTGCAGGGAGCGCAGCGCGCAGGGCGAGCCATGATGCGATGGGATGGCCGATGGCGCGGGCGGGGATCCGACGGCTGGTGGGAGCGTCGGGCTCTGCCGCCCGTGGCCCGCCCCCGGCCACCGCGAATTCCTGCCCCTCGCCCGGGAGGCAGCGCCCCTGCGCCCCTGCCATAAAATACTCCCTCTACCACGCTCCTCTTTCGCGTTCGCGTTTGCAGCAACGGCGCCAAGCCGCCGGCGCCGTAGTCTACTGCAATTTGTTGGCGGAGCACTGACCGAGCTACACACCCTTTTGTAGCGTCTCGTACTTTCGTTGTGCTATATCGGCGGAGAGATCTGGCGGCTCATCGAACGTTTCGCCGTGAACTCGCGGAGTTGGATTGTGTAAGAGATGTAAGAGTGGGGGCGGTTGTTGGGGATGGTTGGAAGCTGTCGGCCTCGGCGGTGTAGAGGCAGTACTCGCCGCCAGGAGCGCCGTCTGCGCTTCCATCTTGAGGGAGTGGCGGATGTGGTTGTCCTCCTGCACCGCACGTGTAGAGGAACGTCGGCGGCGGCGTCATGGTGGAGAGGACTGCGATGGCCTGACTGAATTGGTTATTCAGGCCACGCAGGGTGTTGATGACGAGCGCCGGGTCGGAGACGGCGGCGCCGCAGTCGTAGAGCGTGTCGGCGAGGCGCTTGAGGCGGCCGCAGTATTCGCTCACGGACATGTCGCCTTGGTAGAGGCTATGGAACTCCTGCTGCGCATAGACAGCATGTTGCAGGCTGTTGTCGAGGAAGAGGCCGGTGATGGCCGTCCACGCAGTGTACGCGGAGGTGCGCGGTTTGTTGACATCGTTCCAGAGTTCCTTGGAGATGGTGGAGTAGAGCCAGGAGACGATGCAAGAATCAATTTGCAGCCACTCCGGGTCATCGATCATGGCGGCGGCGTCGACTGTGCCGTCGATATGATTGACAAGCCCGAACTTCTTGAACGTGAGTTCAAAGAAGGAATGCCATTGACGGAAGTTTCCTTCATCCGTAGACAGTTTGACAGGAACGTGGCTGTGGATGTTGAGGAGAACAAGGGCGGAGGCTGTGGGTGGAGCAGGATCAGCGGCCGAGGCGAACGGATTGGTGGCAGCAGAGGAGATGGAACCAGTCGGGCTCGCCATGGCCGGAAGCAGCGGAAGAGGGGAGGTGGATCAAGAAGCTGATACCATGTAAGAGAGGGAAATTGGGGAGAATGCTCGAGTTCCATTCATCACCGTATGCTGTTACAAATAGAGGTGCCGAAGCACTGGAGGCCGATCCAGAGATCGTGGTCATCCCTCACGCCTACATGCTATGCTAGGAGTCGTGTACAGAAAAATAGGAATTACAGTTAGGAGCCGGTGGCTCATGAACTAACTAACTAGCCAATCTATCATGCGCATGAAGAACAGGTCGCTGACAGATTGGAACAGTCCACTGTGTACGCTAGGCAGGTCACAGGTGAGCTGCTGCGCCAAATGCGAGACGCCCGTGGGTTACGCAGGCTTTGCAGAAGTAGTACGTGCAGCTATCCTTTGTCTTGACGAGGTCGAGCTCAATCAGCTCATTACGCTTCTTGCGATCCGTCGTCAGTTTCACGGATAGCCGCGAGGAGCCGAGGATTTCTTTTCCACACGGTGCCGGGAAGCAGAATTGGGCCGTGAAACGTAGGTATGGACTACTTCTGTGCTAGCCCAGGTCAAATGGCAGATGGATATCTATCTGGCGCCGGAACCTCGGCTGGTTAATAGTTGCTGTGATGGATCAACGGGGCCGCCATGGCCATGGCGGGCCAGGCCGCATCTTTCCTTGCTAGGTACCCACGGCTGATTCAAAATACATACTCGTTTTAGGATTTTGCTGTCCAAACTTTTAAACTTTAGCAAATTTTAATAGATTAAGAATTACAGTAAACTTAACCTGTTACAGTATAGCACCCATATTGCGCTTTCAAATCCTCTGCAAAGTTCCTTCTTGTTAATATAACATACAACTCTCCTGTCGGTTTCATTTTTTTAAATACCTCCTTAAAGTTGGCCGTCCAATATGGCTCTAGTTTAGTGTTCGTTGTAAACTTTTTTCCTAAGCAAATTGATATAATAATAATAATTATGGAGCCACTTCCAATCTTTCTATAAAACCACGCAACCAATATAAAAGAAAGGAGTCTATGACTCTAATGACTATCAACTTGGGACTAGATGACCTACGTGTCTAGGTGAAAAATGTCATGACCACTTGCGCTTATGTTGCGATGTCACCGTCAGGGGTGAACCCAATACACAAGGAGTGGGGGCACACTCAAATTGTGGGTTTCTAAAAAAATACCTTCTTTCGTGTAGCTATAGAGGTTCCATCAGTAACAGTCCGTCACTCAAATTTTATGCTAGTCCACCCCTGATCACCGTGACCAAAACCTGCAAAGTGTACTCTTGAAGGATGATCAGGGTCCTGTTGAGGTGTCGTGATCCGTGAGTTTGGGGCGGATACCACGAGGATCTCTTTTCACACGGTCTGGGGGCAACAGGTGAAACAAGCTCGTGTGCTGCTCATGTGGTAGTGGGTGAGCCTAGAAAAAATAGGGAGAGGGATGGAACAAATGAGCCTGCATGTAAGCATGAATACTCAGCTCAGTATGACACGATACAGTGTCAAAGTAACCCTACAAAATGAGGAGGTCATTTATTTGAATATTATTAGATGTTTTAATAAGGACTATAGTATATGTAATATTGTAAGCAAAACAACCTTCAGACCATCTTAGGGGGTTATTTAGACGATCTCAATACTTCAAGGGACACAATACGTTGTTTTATAGGTGAAGGTGTGAAGTAAGGGTTATGAGTTAACAACAGAGGTTGAAATTATTTATGATAGTACTATAGTTTACAACTTTACATGAATTGCATGATACTAGGAAATGGTGAAGCCCGTGGAGGTGCATTGGAGGCTCATCGAGACCAATACCAAACAATCGACTTTTCGATGTGATTGCCATCCCAAACGTCCAAAGTCGTCGTCTTCACCCCACATATTTCTTATCGCAAGTGGCTGTATTTCTTTCCCGTCGCTTGCAGTTGCAGGAGCCAGTGGCTATTACGCAATTGAAAGCCTTGTCGTACGCGGACGGAGTTAGCCCTGGCCTGACGACCTTAATTACTTGCCCAATTGCTCCTGGCCCGGTTCTTGTATTGGCCGTGACACGTCGTGCCGCGGCATCCATTGGATCGGATTGGAGAACCAGTCAAGACTACTGCTTATTTCTATCTAGCAGCCACCTCGCTTGCCATCGTTGATTACTCTACGCTACCAGACTCACATCACATGGATACACGATACCCCAGCCAACCATTGGATCGGCTTGCTTATCAGCACAGCATCTCCAGGCTCCAACTCTCTCAAAGCACCAAGCTAGCTCTTTTTCGCTTCACAAATCGCGGCTTCGGTTAACGGTAGAAGTTCTGCTATTTCTGGTAATGCCGTCTTTACGGCTAGTCCTGTGTGCCGGCACACCGGCGGCCGTACGCCGCCGCCGCGCGCGGCTTGATTGCTGCACTGCTCTGCCTCCGATAAGAGAGTTCCGCATGGCATGCTCGTCTAGTAGGCACTAGCTAGGCAGTGTGGCAGCTCTCTCCTGGCCGGCCGCGAAGCATAACAAGGACCGTAAAAGTAAGTACACCTCGCTCGCGCGCGTCTTCTCTGTGTCTCTGTCTTCCTCTTGTTCTTGGACTTGGACGATGTTTTTTTTTGGAGCAAGACTTGGACGATGTTATTTCAATCTGGCTTTGTGAGATCTAATAACTCTGCTTTTTTTTAAAGCAATAACTCTGCTTTCTTTTATTAGCCAAAGTTATTATCTTTAGTTTACCATACACGATTACAAGTTCCATATTTCTATAACTAGATCTATATATGCTTAGGTGTCTCTAGGTACTAAATTTTCTTAGTGCGAGGATTCATAACCGGTATATGCTTTTCACATCATTTTGTTTTGTACATCTTTTTAAGTGGGGCTCAAATTTGGTTTTGAAAATCTTGTAGCTAGTTTTTTCTTTCTTTACTTGTCATAGACACGTCTCTCTTTCTATAGCAGAAAATCGAGACTATGTTGTGCTGTAGGGACAACGAAGAACGATGTTGTAGAGCTCTATAGTTTGTGTTTGGTGGTTGTGGCAGGAACGAAGAAGAGGAAGAGATGCAGAAGCCGGTGTGACCTTTTCTACGCAGATACGTACGTAGAATAGAAGAAGGCCCGTTTGACCTGCAAACCGCGTGCATAGGCTGCAACTTGACCAGGCTCATTTTGTATGAAACAGTTGGCCCATTCTGGAGCAAGTGTAGATGGCTTTATCATTAGCTCTCGGCCCAAAGCCCAAACCTCATCATCTTGGCGGCCTCTTTGCTCTTTCCCCGTCTCGTCTCGTCATCTTGTCGTCGACCATTGATGAAACGTCATGCTTTTTCTCCGATCCCCACCGCCCGCCCCCTCTCCCCCACTCTAGCTGGTCAAAGGCGCGCGAGGAGGCCATGGAGAACGTCTACGACGAGCCTGCCCTCCTCGACGGCGACGGCGAGCCGCGCCAGCGCCAGCTGGTCGGCGCCTTCCTCCCTCCGCTCCGCCTCCGCGGCCGCCGCTTCAACGCGGCCGTCTACGTCGCGGCGTGGGGCGTGGCGGGGCTCCTCTCCACCACCGTCCCAGGCCTCGCCGCGAACCGCGACCACGTCATGCTCTATTTCGTCTTCCTCATGGCTGGGGTCCTGCTCCTGCTTCTCAGCATCGCCGCCCCGGACCTGCCCGTCGCCGAGAGGGCGGCTGCCCGTCTTGAGGGATTGATTATGGCCGTGCCCTAGAAGGGGAAGAGCGTACGCGCGATCGGTGACCAGTCCTTGCTATGCATGCTTCATTATATTCAACTTAATTTCCCAGCTTCTCGTCGCCCGATCCGTCTTTTCATTCCGTTGATTTGCTTGATTATTGTACACCTCGTGCATGAGTTGCTTACTTGCTTGATCTTGAACTTGAACATGACCATTTATCTATTGCAATTGATACCCCTGCTGTTGCTAATGCTATGACCATTTCATATTTAGATAATCACGTTTCTGTTTGTGTATTCTTCTCAAGCTGTTCCTTTACCTGTGGACTTGGATATAGTCAAGCTATGCGATTTCATCTATTTCAGTTGTACTGATACTATGTACCGAATACTACAGTTATGCATATTGTTTGCTTAATTAATATGTGCATTTAACGCCCAAGATTCTTCTGCTTGAATTCCTTTAAAATTTTTGTTTCAGTTTCTTGTGGAGGTATACATAGAAAATTTTGTACCGAACATCCAATTGCTGACTTCACATATCACATCGACATGAAGAGAAAACTTGGGGCAGGGTTTCAATTGGTTGTATATATATCGAGCAAGTAGCATGTGCATTTGATATCGGCAGCACATCTGACATCTGCCCTAACTCATGTCGTTTTCATGCATGGCTCGGTATTCAGTTGCACTAGCATGTGTGCTTGTATAAATCAGTTTCAATAGATACGTGAGTAAAAAAATGCACATTTTATTTGGTTCTGGATGCACTTGCATAGCTTGATGAATGCATGCATTCTCACAGTTTAGTCTAGTTTATTTATTTTTTGTCAGTAATAAGAATCAATAGAAGAAAAATATACTAGCAAAAGCTAGTATAAGTACTAACTAGGCAGGGATAAGTGTGTATACCTTTTTGAAAAAAAAAACAAGCGATTGCAACATGTTTAAGCTGCATCCATGCAATACATATATCAGAAAAACAAATACCAGGCACTAAGAACGCATCGTGTAGTTTATTTCTAGATAGAGGTTGAATTAATAGGTGCATGTTCTTTTCATTCCGTTGATTTGCTTGATTATTATACGTAGTGTTGTGCTGTGTGTACCATGAATTATATTGTTTGATTTGCTCCTATAAGAACTTTGTAGTGTAGTGTTGTGTGTATCATGTAGTGTACGTGTATGCTACTAAGAACATTATATTTGTAATCTCTGGAATTGCTGTCGATTTTGTGTAAGCTACCTGCCCTGTTGTTTAATCTTGTGATCAGTTCTAATGTGTTGTGAATGCGCATGCCACGAATACTGTGATACTGTTTCTTCTGCTGCTTAACTTGCATTTGTGATTATTGAACTTGAACCCCATGGACTCTGCTAATCTTGGTTAATCTGTTGGTGTTTCTTGCTTGGAAATGAATGGTACAATAATACAATAGGGTTAAAACAGTCCAGAGGCTAGTATTTCGACATGAATATAGTGTGGCCACACTACAGGAACTGCTGGCTTCCCCGAGTGCCAGTTGCACTCGGGGAAGGCCCAGTTGCACTCGGGGAAGCCTTCCCCGAGTGCAACACTCGGGAAAGAGCCTCCGGCTAATCCTCCCACGGGAAAGGCGCCTTCCCCGAGTGTCGAAAATCGTGCACTCGGGGAAGGCTTTGCCGAGTGCCGTGCTGACACTCGGGGAAGACTTGACGCCGTTGGCTGACGGCCGACGCCGTTTTTTTTGATTTTCTTCCCCGAGTGCAACACTCGGGAAAGATTTTTGAATTTTTTTTTAAATACTCTTTGCCGAGTGTCGCAGCTCAGGCACTCGGCAAAGAAATTTGTTTTTTTAAAAAAAATCCCTCTTTCCCGAGTGCCACAGCACAGGCACTCGGGGAAGCCACCTCTAAAATTCTTTTTTTTTGTTTTTTGCTTTTCCATGTAAACAACAAAGGATATATATATATATATATATATATATATATATATATATATATATATATATATATATATATATATATATATATATCACAAACCACAAATCAACACCAATATGTCACAAACCACATTTATATATCACAAACGACCAAATTTGTCCGAAATCCACAATATATTACAAACCACACGTTTAAAAGTACACACTATTCCAAGTTCACAAGTTCAATACATAAAAACGACTCCGAAGACGGTTCACGGCGACTGTGAGGGGTAGGACGCCCCAGCGTGCGATCCCGGCGACGGTCCAGGTGGGGATGGCCCGACGTGCGATGCGATGCAATTCTTCGACATGGTTCGACGCCCCGATTGATGCTGCAAAAAGAGAGGAGATTGCACGTGAGTGAACTGGCAAAAAATAGTTGAGAGAATGTCTCACCAAATGCAGCTTGTGCAAGGTCCACATATCTGTTGTACCTCCTGCCTGGGACAGCCTCATGAAGCTTCACTAGGATCCAGAGCGTGTACAGTTGCCAGAAATAAGCAATAGTCAATGAAATTATTCCCCTAGCTCCTGTAGTCCAAAGAGTCAAAAACAGTGATATGTCAGAAATGGTTCTAAACTTCAGCTATAATAATTTAGGGACATTGAATACTTCAGGGAAATTGGCTGAGAAGATTGAAATCCAGTCCAACTGGACGCCATAACCAATGGTAAAAAAATGATGCAAGATTTTTTTCTTTTTCAATTGCAATAAAGAAAGTATAACCTTACCAATTAGTTACAAGTACTGCACACTTTATTTGTTCTAAGTTACACATGCTATGCTCACAACAATTCAACAAACTTCAAATCAGAGAAGGAAAAACAGAAGGACGAAATTCCATGAACATATGAGATTTATACTGTGATTTGAAAACTTTTAATTGTCTCTCCTGACACAACTTTTATTTTGGTCAATTCCCCATCCGAGTTTGATTGAACTATTTAAAATTTAAAATTCAAAATATAATGAATTTAAATAGATTTTTGGTATAATAAATGATTTCAAATGGAAAAAATCTCAACAACAAAGTTGTATAACGCATTGAGATCTACCACTTTTGTTTTGGTCATTTTTCCATATGATTTTGTTTGGACAGTTCAAATTTTGAATTTCAAAATATAAGAACTTCGAATAGAATTTTAGGGTACTAAGTCATTTCAAATGAAAAAGTCGTCAACAACAAAGTTGTAGAACTCATCGAGATCTACAATTTTTATTTTAGTCATTTGTTCATCCGACAAAGCGATAGTAACATTGTCCATAGATTTTACATATCTCTCTTACAGTTTCATAAACTATAAGACATATATGTAAAATCTGTGGACAATGTTACTATCACTTCGTCGGATGAACAAATGACCAAAATAAAAGTTATATATCTTGATTAGTTCTACAACTTTTATGTTCATGACTTTTTCAGCTGAAATCATTTACTACATCAAAATATTATTTGAAGTTGTCATTTTTTGAAATTCAAATTTTGAATTGATAGAACAAAGTCACATGAAAAAATAACAAAAAATAATAGCTGTAAGAACACAATAACTTGATAGATCATGATAGCATATATTTAGGAGGAGCTTGTCATATCCAAAGTGCCAAATTGTGAGCTTTATATGTGTTGTTATCAATCACCGAAAATAAGGAGTTTGTAAGTGCAATAAATCCTATTTGTGAGTTTTGGTGAATATAATGACAAAGCAATAAAGAGCTAAGGATGTTTCGTGAGATTTTCATTTAATCATCGATGTGAAAAGTCCAAATGAGAAATGGGAACCCTAAATTATTACTTCAAAGCTAGTAAGTCATGCTTCAACTTGAGATAATTTCATTTTATTTTAACTTCTCTTGATCAGTGATAGGATGCCGTACTATACAGAGGTTGAGATCGAAATTATATCACTTGCAGATGTCCTAAGTGCTCAAAAGATCAATTCTATTTTCTCTAGACACCTTCCTAAAATCATCCTTGACTTATATTTTCTAGTCCAAGCTAGCTTAAAAATTCTTCTCAGCCGAAAATTCCTTTTTCTTCAACAAGAATTTTCGAAAGCCTACTCCTTTGAAATTTCTTGCTTAGCCACCTTAAATTTCCAAAGCACCCCTCTCTGTTGAAGACCGCAAATTAACTGGAATTTTATCCCTCCCAAGTAAAAAATTCAACAAGAATTTTCGAAAGTCTACTTCTTTGAAATTTCTTGCTGAGCCTACTTAAATTTTCAGAGAACCCCTCTCTGTTGAAGACCGTAAATTAACTGGAATTTTATTCCTCCCAAGCAAAAAATTCCAGTGCGGTTTCTGAAAGGGCCAAATAATATAGATATGGCCGGTCAGGTTATTATCAAAAGCAAGAAAAGGCCAGGTAGATGTCTAGGTTTTAGGCATTCGATGTCACAACTTGCTCGAAAACCTTCTCAATTTTTTATCATAACCTCTACATGCGATAACACGACGCCCCGACAAGTTTCGTGATTTTTGGACTTCGTTCGGATTTTATATAATTTAAAAACACTTTTCCCGCAAGTTATTCGTCATGTTACGTCAACAAGATGCTCGACATTTCATGCTAGTTCCTGGATAAGGCCTCAACATACACCAAATATCATGAATATCATTTTTTGAATCACCAAATTCCATTATTTCATGCACCTGCAGTTCAAATTCGAAGTATGTAAAAAATTTCAACGAAACGAAAAAAACTAACGAAATATAACAAAAAAAGTCAAAATTATCCCAAATTTGAACAGGGAGTTTTAAATAATGTGAGAAGGCCTCACAAAAAAAATGAGGCAAAAAAACAAAAAAAACAAAAATTCTTCCCCGAGTGTCTTCCCTGGCACTCGGCAAATAGGCCCTTTCCCGAGTGCCAGGACAGGGCGCTCGGGGAAGGCAGCTTCTTCCCCGAGTGCCCTGTTCTGGTACTCGGGAAAGGGCCTCTTCCCCGAGTGTCAGGGAAGGCACTCGGGGAAGAATTTTTTTTTAAAGTTTTAACGGCGTGGGCGGGGTGGACCGTCAAGTAACATGTTTCTTTGCCGAGTGCCGATCTTCCCCGAGTGTTGCACTCGG